ATTCAGGAGGAAATTAAGAGGAGACTGAACTCGGGTAATGCTTGCTACCATTGAGTCCAGAACCTTTTGTCTTCTCTAGAAACTTAAAATTTAGAATATACGAAAGTACAATTTTGCCTGTGGTTCTGTATGCGTGTGAAACTTGGTCTCTGACATGAAGCGAGGAACATAGACTGAGGGTATTTGAGAACAGGGCGTTGAGGAGAATATTTGGACCGAAGAGGGATGAAGTGACAGGAGGTTGGAGAAAACTGCATAATGAGGTGCTTCATAACTTGTACTGTTCTCCAAGTATAATTAGAGTGATCAAGTCAAGGATGATAAGGCGGGCATGGCATGTAGCACGAATGGGGGAGACGAGGAATGCCTATAGTTTATTGGTGGGAAAGCCAGAAGGAAAGAGACCACTAGGAAGATCAAGACATAGGTGGGTGGATAGTATTAAAATGGATCTTGGAGAGATAGGATGGGATGGTATGGACTGGATTGATCTGGCCGAGGATAGGCACCAGTGGAGGGCTCTTGTGAATACGGTAATGAACCTTCGGGTTCCATAAAATACTGGGATATTTTTGGGTAGCTACACAACTGGCGGGGTTTCAAGAAGGGCTCAGCGCAATGAAGTTAGTGCCTTGCTGATTAGGCTAATGACAATAGACGTGTTTCGAAAGAAATGGCGCAATAATAAATAGTGGGGGGTGGGTACCCTCATTTGAATAATCCGTGTACTGAAGGTTGCCTAGTATTCTGATGCATGGGGGGCGCGTCATCACATCCAGGTAACAATCTTATATTCTGGACGACTGACAGATGAGATTAAAAATCTGTCGTGACAAGACTCAATCAAGGATATCTAGGTTCATGTTTTCTCTGTCCTTGCAACGTGATGCAAGTAGCAGTCGGGACATGAACCCAGTTCTCCGTGTCCCTACTTTACACGCCGCCAGTGCGTCGCTCGGCTGAGTCACGGCCTTGACACCATCCTTTAATGGGCATTCGTGTCGCGTGACATAACTTTGGGAGTGTCGCAGTCTGATCACCACTGATGTTTGGGGGTGAGGAAGGGTATTGGGACCCCGTGCGTCATGGTGACCCAACTCGTGCCCCAGATTTGTCTGCAATTGGGGCACCGCAGTATGTGGAGTACCTTGGCCCCTTAGTCGCTGCAACTAGATCACGCTGAGAGAGGCTGGCCGACTGGCCGTCCGTCCTACCTGTATTTAGTAGACCTCCAGTTCAAATACCGGTCGGCAGGCTCAAATTATTTCTGACTCTACTTCTTTTGGACTTCATTCATCGTCTGGTATGTAAAAAACAAAAGACCAGTGATTGAGACTAGCTCTTTCTAACGGGCCCGACTGAGTAGGTTTATCCTTCCTTACCCACCTGAAGACGGAAACAGATCCAGTCTCCGAAACGTCGTGGTCCTTTGTCTTTTACATACCAGACGATGGATGAAGTACAAAACAAGCCAAAAGAAGTACAGTATACACCATCGTCAGAATCCTTTCAAGTCTATTATTTCTGACTCGTTTAACGACGCTCCCACCAGCTCAGATTGTATAATTGCTTGAACGATAGAATTATACTGGATAATCTACTGTCCAAAAGGTGGGAGTCAGCGGGCATGGGCTGATTTGCGGCGCTGTCCTGACATTTGCTTGCCCTGGTCATTAAAGTGAAGCAGGCGAGTCTGCGGGGGCGCTACCCACTCGTCTGGCACTTTCGATAATTCGATATCGTGGCCGTCACAGATTGCCCAAGCGCATGTTCACACTCTCTGATAATAGACCCTTCATTCACTGCTCTTGGCACAAAGCTAACGGAGAAGTGTTAATGAGTAGCACTGACTTTCCGGCCCAACTTTCCACAACGTTCGCTGTTCAGAAAGTCCCTTGTGATCCAATTCGCGTGTCCCTCGCACGGCCCACTTGCTGATCCATCCTATAGACTATTTCATAGAACAGTGTCCTCTGTCCTCCTTAAGAAACTAATTGTCTCAGGTAAAGAACGTCCCTGCTATTTATGAAATCCGAAAGTTCAGAAGAGTGCGCCATTGGTCCCTGTCCTGTGCCAGACCAATCTGATTCACATGCCAGTTTAATATTATCAGCCCACATAAGTCCCATGCTTGTTAGGCCTACATCCGCTAATTGTATTAAATGTCTTCATATGAAATGTCTGTTGTGCATGTGGCACGAAATGGTTTTGTTTCAAACGGTTTTCGATGTGGAGAATATTTACGTAAGTACAGGTAAATATAGTTCCTGTCTCTGTGGATTTGATTTCTTTCCTTTTGGTTGGCTTCGGCAAGAAAAAAAAAAGTTGATTTGCAACCGCAAGAAGGCAACCCCAAGAGATTCTTGTGCAAAATATTAAATTCTCATTCCATTCGCTCTGAACTGCATGTGTGACAGAAACAGCTGAAGTCTAATTGGTCGTGAGCGCACTCAAGGCCGCCGCAGCTTGAACAAATGACGTCACAGGTCGGCTTCATATCCCATATACGCAAACTTTTGTGACGTCACAGCCCCTACTGTCATGGAGTAGCATTAGGGATATAATAATCTGTTTCATGCCAGTGCGTTTTGTCCAATAAGCTGTGTACACATTTGGGTGAGCTTTTAAATGCGCCATTTTTTTGTCAGTGGCGGCCCGTGAGGGCAAGAAACAAAAACATGAAATACTAGAAGACCGGTTTGTTTATATCCTCACTTTGTAAGTTAATTTCTTTAATTATTTTGTGTTATGGTTTGTAGTTTAATTGCTCTTACTTGGGGGGGGGGGAAGCTCCGGTGCAAGCTCTAACGGCGATTGGCAACTGCTTGAAAGACCACAGTTATTTTGATAGGAATCCATCGAGTGGTAAGTTTCTTACCACTGAACAAACGAGGGGCTGCATGAAGAGAAGAGTGAGACATGACTTGCTGCTGTGGGTTCGGCGGCACCGACGCATGCGTAATCTCGACACACAGCTGCACGCGCCGGCCACATTACCCCCGATACGATGCTCGATGGGCCCCAGAGCCGATCTGCGTGCTATGGAGAGGAGAGCGGTCTCTTGTCCTGCTGGGAATCATTAAATAAACCGTAGGCTTCCGACATCCGCGGTACAGCGTGGGTTTTGCTCTCGTTGCGCCGTGGGTTGGGCCCGTAATGAGTGTGCGCGTCCTGGGGGAACATCTGACGCCTCGGTTTTTCCAAATTTACAACCGGTGCGTCTCCTGCCAAGGCCAGGGGTGTCCAACTTACAAGCATGCACCAAAGGCATGGGACATTTTACAATTCGGAGAGATAAATGAGCATATTTTTTAAAACGCTTGCACCCAAGGGAAGGGATGTAAGAAAAAGGTTGGAGGATAGTCGGAGAGGATTGGCCATTTGTAATTATTTCTAGCCAAATGTTATTGCGGTAACCACAGTGAGATGGGCGTGGCATAAAGTACGAATTGGGGGGATCAGAAATGCACACAAAATTTTGGTTGGAAAACCTGAAAGGAAAGATCGCTTTGAAGACATAGGCATAGTTGGGAGGATAATATTGAGTTGAATCTCAAATAGGGCGGGGGTGTGAAGTGGACTCATCCGGCTCTGGATAGGGTGCTGAAGTGGTCTGTGAACTCGGTAATTAACATACAAAATGTGTCTGAGAAAAACAGTGTCACTATACATAGGCTGGTATGTCTCTCTGAAACTGTTTTATCTTATCAGGAGCAAATGAGCAATGATTCGGATTGGAGGGGGGGGCACTCATAGGGAAGATTTATAATCTAAAAAGGAATTGTAAACAATGGAAATTGAAACAGATCAACCAATATGGGTATTCCAGTTTGGAGTACATGCGGAAGTTCCCAAAACTTCTGTAATTTTACATTTGTTTCCTCTTGGATATTCTCTGCTTTCTGATATCCAGTTTCATCACTGAATTGAAATGTGTAAATATGTAACACATGAAAATGTAACCTTTCTGTTTCCCGTTTCCCTCCATGGACCTGACACAACACCGAGATATTATGAGTTTTGCTCCATAGAAACTCCACTTTGTTCCAGTTACCTGTGTAAACTTAATTTCTTAATTTTAGTGGTTTGTGCCACTCCATCTTGCTAGTGAAGCAAAGCAACCATATAGGAAGCACAGGCTGCCATTTTGTAACCACCATTACATCAGACTTGCTGCAGTTGTAAGCAGCACCACGTGTTGCATTAACATGATGTCTGCTGGGAAAAATAATTAGTTCAAGTATGATATACTTTAAGTACAGTCTTATTTTGGAATATAACCTCCTTGAGGCCTAACAAGGCAACTGCAGATTCCAAATTCAGCCCTTCAAGCATGTCTGTCCACTCGTGATACAGTCTCTTAGTTTCATAATGTCCTGTAACTGTTACTCACTTGCAGATGGCATTTGCATATATTCATAATTAATTTGCTTTGGAAATTCTGGAAAAGGTGACCAGAGGAAATGGTTCATTTGTGTGGTGGCACTTTTAAATTCACCATGACTTCAACGTCACTTGTGCGATCTGCCTTCAACATGGGGTCAGTGTACATTCAGACACCTAAAATGTCACATGAGGTCCGGTAATTTATAGCACCAGGTATTTTAAATTCAGAGTTTATCAAACCTTGAAGTGGAATCACCGAGTTATATTTGTTGCCAGATCAAGTTCAGTTAACTCCAGTGACGTCCAAATGCACTGCTGTAAAGTCTCAATGAAAGAACTGTGCCCACACAACGTGGCAACGTACCAACTCTAGCACTAAGGATTATGGCTGCAGACTTCTGGACGGTCTGACAAAGGATATAGCACTTAGAGGGTTTTCATCATAGCAAGTGAATAGAACCTGTCACTCCAACTTGATTTTTCATTAACTCTTACTTCCATGGGTAATCTCCATCCTGCAGCTGAAGTTTCTATAATCTACAATATTCTGGTGCACAAAAATAAAAACTTACAACTGCTGAAACTGCAAGTCAATAATAAGAAAAAGAATGGTGCACATTTAGGTACCATATTTATTATACAAATTGATTTGTTCTATCTACATTTTATAATACATTGTGCTGAAACATATGTACAAGATTAGGAGCGAAACTGTTTCTTTTTATAAAAGCGTTGTACTAAAACGTACAAAATATAGTCTAGCCAACTGAGAGAAATGGAAACACACGTAGAACATAAAAGTAACTCAGTTGGGACTGGTTTCTATGCCGTTAACAGAACTAAAATACAATGCAATTACGCCTGATAAGAAAAATCATTCAAGTCACACTCAACAGTCATACCCAGGCCGGCCAACACAAATGTAACTCACATACGTGAAACGGTGATACCGGATGTAATGAGGTGAATCAGACTCACATTGTGATATGAACATGTTGCATGGAGAGTCACTCCTTGTTCTTCCATGCAGCCTCCACACTAACAAACGCACTCTCTCACAACAATGTCAGTTAGGGAGCGTGTCATATAAGATGTCTTTCACACTCTGTGTGATGTTGTCCGGGAACTTTATATCAAATGAGACTATGAGGTCTCCCTTTCGACTAGGTTCCTTAGGGAATGGAAGTCCTTGGCCCTGGATTCGCTTTACAGTTACTGGTTTCACAATCTCATTCATCAGGTTGATAGGAATCTTGTCTCCACTAAGTGTAGGAACATTAATGATTGAACCACATAATGCCTGAAATAGAAAACAACCATCAATCAATTTCTGTTTCACTCCACTTATTTACCGACTCCTAGACTACACTGAGGCTACCCTTCTGTGTATTACACATTCTTCCTCAGCCTACTTCTTAGATCCAGTCCAGCCTGTTCACACAATGTTGGAACCTTCCCTAGCTGCAAGTGCTTTGGGTTGGCTGGCATGAACCCCAGGGGAAAGCAACAGGGGGCAGGCAGGAATCTTGTGTTCCCATCAGTGCAGTGTTTGGTCATATTCTTCCCACTTTCCAGTGACTATCTGTTCTTGTTACTGTCATTCATTGTGCAAATGTTCCACACACAATCTGAATGCAACACCTCCATATGGCAAAGCATAACCTCACCAGGTGCCACTATACAACAATCAAGTTATTCAGTAAACTCCCACCCACTACTGAAAAAGATTGTCTCATCTTATTTGTCCTTTCTCGAGGGAACATACTTCAACTGGAAATTAAATGAAGAAAATATTTCTTTGATGCCATTATATTGTTCTGTATTACATAATATCTGAATAGCAGTAACAACATTTGTACCATATTTGGTTTATGACACAACCCACATCCTTGGGCCAAGTTCTGTAAATTCTAAAAATGCTCTCTACAGAACTCATCCTTAATTTGATCATCCCAACTACACTGTGTGGGTGTACAAAATTTTGTCTAGTCCCCTGGCAGCCCCATCAGATGTTCTTAACACCAATGACATTACAGTCTTCTGCTGTGTAGTAAGTTCTGGGTAAACCACACACCATCCCCCCAAACCCTTGACCTATAATTCTCCCTCCAATGAAATGCAAAGGTCTGCACTTGTATAAATTGAGATATATACTGTCTGCAAAACTGAATGCCAACAGTCACCCATTTGCAATACTTGTTACCTCCAACAGATCATACCAATGCCATATTCAGGTAGTCCAGGGCCCTGTTTGCTCCTATATGCACACGCACGGTCAGTATTTCAATATCAATGATTAAAGACTTGCAATACCTCCTAAAGCAACAGCAATGAGCTGCGCCTCTTCCTCCACCACCAGGAAAACTGCACCTCAAGTTAGTCCATAACACTTACCTGCTTAAGTGAGATCCTGGCTGTGTACCGGATGTCACTGCCCTCCCGTTTGAACAGTGCGTGTGGCTTGTCCCTAATAATGAACACAATATCAGCAGGAATCTTGTTGCGACACTGGTCCCCTTCCTTCTGGAACGTTATCTTTGTGCCTGCCTTCCAGCCTGGTTTCACATTGATAGTCAACACTTTGTCTTCTTTCTGCGAGGACCCATCGGGCTGGAGGACACGTCGCGAGATCTTCATCTTCTTTGTGCAGCCACGAGTGATATCCTCCAAGGTGACATACAGATCATGCTCTATGGGCGGGTCCTGAAGTTTGTCCTTCCCACGAACAGGAGAGCCAGTGTGGAAGTTAAAAGAATGTGACCGGAATGCCCCACCAGGACCCCCGGGCCTTGCATTGCCCATTCCTAGGGTTGTAAATGGATCATCATCCAACTCCATGTCATCTTGGAAGCCAAACATTCGGTTACCTCCAGATCCACCAAGGTCAAAAAATGTGTGGAATGGGTTTGGAGTACCAAAGAACTGGGCAAATGTAGCACGAGGGTCACCATGGAATGTGTAGGTGAATCCACCCCCAGGCCCTTCACTGCCACCTGCTGAACCACTCTTCAGGCCTTCTTCACCAAACTGATCAAACACATCTCTCTTCTTCTTATCACTCAGCACTTCGTACGCTTCCGCCACCTCCTTGAATTTCTCTTCTGCTCCAGGTGACTTGTTTTTGTCTGGATGATATCTGAGGGCAAGTTTACGGTACGCTTTCTTGATCTCATCATCAGATGCCCCTTTTGAGATGCCTAAGATTTTGTAATAATCCTTCCCCATGTCTGGGTTGCAATCTAAAATGAAAAATAACCATCATCATATAAGACTCGTAGGCAGGAACACAGGTAGATGGATGACATGCATTCCATGGACCCTGCCTCATTAGGACACGAAACTAGCAGGTGCACAAATAAATGCAACAAGCAAGCACAATGTAATTGTCACATGAAAATTGACTTGTCCTATATCATGTACAATGATCTACAGTGACAAAATAAATAAATAAATCATGAACAAGAAATTCCTTATAATTACTCCAGAATCAGTATTACAGTTCAGTATATACAATACAGAGTGGACCAAATAAAACACAGCCCAATCAAGTCATGTACTACAGTATAGACACTGAATTAGAAACTAAATTCCAACAAATCATATTGTATTACATCCCCAAAGACAGAACTCTTCTAACCACCCCTGTAAGGACCTCACATCAGAGATAATTCTAATGATTTTCTTACACCTGATTTTCTCCTTAAAAGTATTCCATATGACGTATACGAAGCACACCGGCAACACTGTGAATAGCCTCAGACTTCATTTGGTTTCACCTGCTCTATGTGACTGTCAACTATTCACCGACAATTTTGAGACTACAGAATATGGATGGTTCAAGGGCCCCTGACCCAGTCTTCCCCTTCCCTTCACCTGCACCACTTTTACACGCTCGGCTTACTCTTCTACCCCGAAGATGGATTCAGCAGGTTCCTCCTATAAGTCGGTTAACTACCTACATGGCGTCACATAACAGATAACTGTAATCTTCACCTTTTAAATTGTTTGACAGTGTCTTAATTTATTAATATAACATTACAACTCAACAATCCGAAGTAATTCCTTTCCTCTTCACCATTAATCAAATTAGCTTCGTTATCATCCAACGCTACTGGTAATGCATAGCAGATGGAAAGGAACTGTTTACAGCATAAGGCAAATCACTGAATTCTTTATGATTACGCTTATCTTTTTTTAAAACTTAAACACACTATACATAAAGCAACACTGTAATCGAAATTGATTTTCCCTACTTCACACCAGCTTTCCTTGGTACGAACTGTAATCCGAGAAGAGTAATGGGGTCGCTTACGTAACAGGTCTTCACAAAAAAAAGACTTAGTGCCAAATTGATGCATTACTCACCTTTCAGAATTCAATATTTAAACTTATAACACTGGTATCCCTTATTCCAAATACGTGTATCTTAGCAGTATATACGTCGAGAATATTACAACGTTGGGCAACGAACAATCACTGCTGTTTACCACGATAGCTTCGCCTTCGTTTCGTCAACTGAACCAATAGAAAGTCTGGTTTCAAGCATATATACTCATCATTCGTTCTGTAAAATTCCGGAAGATTCTGGAACCTGGCACTACGCCAACGACATCAAGTATCTTCACTAGGAAAGATATTCCTTTTCCGGTATTTAATACAGACCCATGTCAACGTCAGCTATTGAGCTATCTTGCATGAAATTGGTTATATTGCTTGTAAGATGTTTGGATACTCATCGACGATGCAGCTATCTATAGGTAAAAAATTGTAACTAGATTTTATCTTCGTCAGAGTAATGGAGGTAAGTACAATTTTATGTTACGGCGAAACTAGACAGTTTTCTTAAACAATAATAATATTTCTGTAATAAAGATGTGCCTAATTGAGGCGCTGTTCCACGTAAAAATCGTTTTTACAACGGTATAATAAGTAACTGGGCTAATTGCCGATTGTATGTTGCCTTTCGGCGATTGTACCTGCATGTGTTTTAGTTATTTCTTCCTTTATTACATTGCTTTTTCACGTTGTCTTTCTTTATTTAAGGTAGAAATACTGAGCGCCCAGACTTCAAAGTCGGTTGGAGTTTTAAACAGTGTAAGTATGAGCATATTCTCACCTTTAACCTTAGCATGAGAGTGCAAGTTTCAGTCCTGTGGACGTTGTAGGAGGAAAGTGCCTGTTTATTTAGTAGCATTTCCGTGTTCGGCCTCTAAACTTTAAAACTCCCATAAACACAAAAGTAATATTATTGTAATAGAAGAAACAACATAAATAGAAGTTCTGAACTTAANGAACACTCTTCTTCATGAGCTCCACAACATTTTTACAGTTCAGAACTTTTCTTAAAGCCACCATGTATGACTTGAAATACAGTATTCAAAGTCTGTGTCTCTGTGAGCAGGTAGGTGCGGTTACTGGGGAAGCACCATGGCACCATGCTTAGCCAGTTGCTGCTACACAAGCACCAGACCATGTTTATTTATCCAGAAGTGCCTGGTCTCTTTGACCATTGATGTGCTCCAGGTGAACTGCCATCTGAACCTCCTTAACCTCAGTTTTGTGGCTCTAGCACCCTCAAGATTCATTAAACTTTTGATGCACAGTAACTTTCTCTGGCCAACATCATATATTTCTTTAGAATATTTCTAGTTGAACTTCATGGCTTTTGACAATAATGACACAGTCCATTTCAAAACAGCCGACACACTATGTTCTCTTCTGGGAACTGTGACCCCCAGCTATACTAAGGCCACCAACAGATGCCCCGTGGATGGTGGGGTGATGGCTTTTGAGGTATTCACCTGTCTGTAGATGAGAGGAGTAAAAGAAAGGATTACAGCTCGAAGGACGTATGGAAGGGGTGCCCCAGGGAACTGCTTTGCATGGCCACCGACAGCTACAGTGGCTGAAACTGAGCAGAGCGGCATAGCAGTAATGCTCTGCATTTGTATTCGGGAGGTGCTCAGATCAGGATAACACAGTCAGAGATGTACCTGAATGGGCTACTCTGGAGAGATTGCAGATACCAAGATGCTGCACCAGGAAGGGAGAACAGATGTACATACATACATACATACATTTCATTTCACAAGTCCAAATAAATGGACATGAAGGTCGTCATACAAAAATTTAAACAAACACACAGATAACGAAATAATTAAAACTAATTGTTTATGTTATGCTCCACATATTCAGAAACTGTATAAAAGGAATTATTCATAAGATATAAAAACAGCCTATTTTTAAAACTAATTCTATCCTCTTTAAGGCTTTGAATGGTTATGGGCAATCTGTTGAATAGTTTAATAGCAGTAAACATAGTACCTTTCTGAAAAGCAGAAAGATTCAAGTTTGGCAAATATAATTGCTTTCGATTTCTTGTATTCAAACCATGAACATCTAAACCTGAACAAACTTTAGTTTGATTATCAATCACAAACATCATCGAGAGAATGTATTAACATGACAATGGCAGTATATTCAATTTCTTAAAAAGATCCCTACATGAGTCTCTAGGTCCCACTCCAGATATAATCCTTATTACTTTTTTTCGTAGTTTAAAAACTCTAACATTATTCTTGAGTTGCCCCCAAAAATTATTCCATACTTAAGAATAGAGTGGAAATAAGAAAAATACATGTAAGATTTGAGGCTTTCACGGCGGTGACTATGAAGAGAGCAGTCTTCTGGGATTTGGCACCGTGTATATGTGTTAACCGACGTTTCGGAGGAACGTATTGCCCCCATCTTCAGGGTTGAAGAAGTATAGGTAAATCTGCAAGCGACAACACCGTGAGACACGGTCAAGCAGACTAAAGAACATACC